GTACCTCATCGGGCTCCCCCTTCACACGTATGCCAGCAACCATCTCATTCTTCACTAGCTGCTGCAAGATGGGCAGGGCCACATGCCCCATTCGCCGATGCAAGGTGAGCCAATCACACTCTCCCATAGCCGAAGTCAGATTGGAGAATGCCGCACTCGCAATAGTGCCCCACATGTTCTCTCCGTACTCCTCCTCCGCTACTGCCATGGGGTTCTCCTCATCCTTGTGCTGCTTCTTGGCTGCTGCACCACTCTCCTCGTGTTCACCGAGCTTGCTGGTCCCTCCAAGATTGCACTTCTTGGACTTAATCTCCTTAGCGCGACCGTTCGCGCCATCGCCGCTACCAACCGCTTCACCCTTGGTGCTGATGCTTGCTGCCACTTGCCTCTCCTTAGGCATGGGGACCACAGGGATCTGCCACATCTCGTTGTAGACATCCCTATCCTCGTGAAGGTCCCAAAGAATCCGCTCGCCAAGCCTCGCGGTGTAGGTCTTAGCTCCCTTCGAGCTCGTGTTCATGCCGGCCTTTTGCAACCGCCGCACGGAAATCAGGTTGGCAGCAAGGTTGGGCACCCAAAGCACGTTCTTGAGGCCCACCATCTTCCCATCAGCACCCTTGAACATGGCCTTGCCCATGCCTTTCACCTCTGCTCGCTGCCCCAAAGCCGATGTCACATGCTTCACCAGTGACGGCTCAAGTTCGGTGAGCAAGTCCGCACGAGGTGTCATGCTATAGGTAGCGCCGCTATCGATCACCCAATAGTCCAGGGAGTGTAGGGTGACCTTTCCCACAGCTGCTGGCTCCTCAAAGCCTTCATCCTTCTCTGGACCAGCCGGTGCTTGCGTGGACACGAAGAAGAATTGACCCGGGAAGCGATCGTCCCTCGACTCGCTCTCGTTGCCGGCACTCTTCATACTTGCAGCACCACCTCCGCGACCGCCACGGCCTCCACGGCCTCTTCCTCTCCCTCCTCCTGCTCCTCTACCCTCTTGGCCTTGATCAGGAGTCCATCCATCAGGGAGCTTGTAGCAATCGCGCCACATATGTCCGCTCTTGTGACAATAGTGGCACTCGCCGTCGAATCGGCCACGACCGCGTCCGTAGCTCTTGTTGTCGCTGCCGTATCCACCACTCCCGCGGCCTCCACTGAAGTTGTTGCTGCCAAATCTGCTTCCCCCTCGTCCTCTGCCCCTTCCACGGCCATACCCTCGGCCGATGCTTGCTGCCCCGGCGCCATCCGCACTCGCCAACTCACGGCGGCGGAAGTCCTCTTGAAGGATCGCTCGCTTCACGTCTTCAAGCGAGAGGCGGGGCAAGTCACGATTGAGGTTGATGATGAGCGAGGACCATGACTCTGGGAGTAAGGCCAGCAACTTGGTCTTCTTTTGGAGCTCACTGTAGCTCAAATCAGCTCCCTCAAGCCGCGTCAACAAGTCGAAGAATTTCTGCACCCCTTCTTCAACCACTTCGTCTTCTTCAATTCGTAGTGCCGCCATTTGCCGTTCCAACACCACCGCTACCGCCGCTGTTGCAGGAGCATGTACACCCTTGAGAGCAGCCCATGCCTTTGGTCCCTTCTCTGGTTCACGCTGGAATGGCTTGATGTGACGGATCTGGCTGCTCCCCAACGCTTGCCCAAGTAGGAGATAGCCTTGTGCGCTCTTCCGCACCCACGGGCTCTTCTCCGGGTCGTTCTCGGGGCGCTTCTCCGTTCCTTCCATCACCTCCAGCAGGTCATAATGGTCAAAGATGTTCTCCATCTTGAAGGACCATTCAGCAAAGTTGTCGCCGTTGAACTTGTCAAGCCCAAACACCCTAGGCTCATCCCTAGGTGGGCCAAGACTTGGTTGCATGGGCGCCATGGCTGAATCACGGGGTTGGCCTTGAGCTTGAGCTTCTCCACTGCTACCAGCACCTCTGCCACCCCTTTCCTCAGGTACATCCATTGTCGAAACTTCTCCAAGGGGCTCTGATACCACTTGTTATAGTCACAATAGGCTTGAATGTGCCTAAAACGAAAGATAGAGAGCACAGACGGATTTCTGCACAGCGGCTTCAAACGTTGATAGCGTTCTGCTCACAGCTGCAAATGACCTGATTCAAATTGGATCTAGAGCGTCTTTACGTCGTCTACAATTAGCAATTTAGATTGCACGATTTGATAAAGAATTGACGACACAGCGTCGGTTTGAACGAACGGTACTATGGCAGCCACTATAGTCTTAGAACACAAGATAGGAAGAGTTACGAGTTGGGAATGACTCCCAGCTCCTACAAACCCCAAGAGCCGAGGTACAGTGATGTGGAACAGTGCCACACTGTCCCCAACCACGAAGGGTCTCGAAACTACCCTCCACAAGGGCCTACACCAAGAGAAATGTTACACTACACAAAGTAATGCATTCTCGCTATCTTAAAGTTTACCGTTTTGGAGAGCTTCGAAATCACTTGATTCTTGAAACCAAGGCTCTGGTTCTTCAAGGTAAATTCTTCCTTGAGTTCTTGGAAGTCTGCTGCGCACACCTGCGACACGCCGAACGTTCCACACACGACAAAATAGAAAACCGCACACGACACACAAACAACGACGTCGCACGCAACTAGCGATAACTCGCTATTGACTCGACACACACATTCAAAATCATGCCTCATCATTCACACACTATTGTAAGCATGAAATATATATTATTTCATGCCCTCATACCATTCCATGCACACACGCATGCACGCACACGGACAACAAGCCGTATGCAAACCGTAGGGTTGCACCAACAAAACTCGCTGTGAAACCGTAGATCCCTTCAACGAGCGGGTCTGTAATGCCGATGCCACCCAGCGATGTGGGCAGCGACGCCTGCTCCCACATACGTGCTTGCTCGGTGCAGCACGTTGGCATGCGGATGTCGCAGGAGGTGAGTAAGGTAGTGAGCAGGTCCCGACCCCACTGGCTCCAGGTGTCGCGGGGGAGTAGGTGGAGCGGTGTCGTTCTAATGAGGTAGGCTACTCGTCTAGAAATGCATCGCGTGAGTAGCAGCGCGGCTACTTGGGGGTCAGCTCGTTCTATAAGTGACAGCGGCTTTGTCATCTCGGCTAGCTGTTCGGTTAGGAACTCGGCTGCTCCGGCGTCCGTCCCCACGTAGCTACCCAGGAGCCGTACCCCGTCCTTTGAAACTGGCACCCCGGGTGGGAGTTGTGCTTGTGTGACTGTGATCGAGCTCCAGGCCGCACATTTCTGCGGATTATGCGTCAGGCCCAGATGTGCCAGCTTGGCTGTGAAGTCTGTGAAAGCTGCTACAGTGCACGAAGTGTCACCCAGGAAGGTGACATCGTCCGCATACGCCAAGCAGAGCACGTTGGGGTGTGCCTCTGTAATCTCACAGAGCGTGGGATGTATTCCCGCTGCAAACAGTAACGGGCCTAGTGGATCTCCCTGCCGAACGCCCCGTTCACTTTGCAGCGGTTCGCAGTTGAAATCAGCGTCCAGGAACAGCTGCGACGGGTTACCGTAGGTCAGTTTTACAAATGGCTGTAGTGGCGAGAGTCCGGGCTCCTGTAACGCGGTAGCGATGGCACGTCGCGAAATGCTGTTGAATGCATTCGAAATATCGGCTTGGAGGACCAGGCTGTCAGGACGGGCATCCAAGAATGCCCTGGCTGCGTAAATTACCGCCTCTGCTCCACCTGGCACTGCCACGCCGTACTGAATTGGCAGGAAATGTTCGCGGGCAGCTTCTCCCATGGCTATCAGGGCTGCCTTGGCTGTCAGCCTTGTCAAACATTCGCCGATCGCGATTGGCCGGGCTCCTCCCCTAGGTTTGGCCAGAGCTATGAGCCGTGACGCAGTCAGAATTTTTGCGACCGGGCATGGCAAATTCCCTCCGAGCATGGTATTGACCAAGGCGTGCAGATGGGTGCTGACCATTCCGTTGGTGATCGCCGCGTCGCGTAGGTGCTCAAATGTCGTACCTGAAGGTCCGGCCCCCACCCCGTTCTCGCACCTTCCAAGAATCTTGGCGAATTCAGCGTGGGTGATGGACAGTTTTGACTCGGGTGGCTCGGGCCAGGTCACTGCTTCGGGTACTGCTGGCGGGTGCTTTTGACGCAGCTCTTCCAATATTTCCGGGCTCGGGGTGCAGACGGGTGTTGACTCCAGGGCCAGCACGGCCCGGCGTAGGCTGCCACGTTTCGCTAGGCCCTCGGCTCGGCTGATGACTCCGGTCGTGTCAGGCTGGTGTCGTGGCGGTGGGGGTGTGTTGACCGCGTCGACCGCGTCCTGGTACAACTGCCCCCATTCGCCGCGCTGAAAGGCTCGGAGCCGGGCTTTGACCCCCGGCCAGTTCGGTCGTTGTGGCGAGGTCTGGCGAAGTGTTAGGCGCGGGAGGTACAGCAACAGGCGCCAACCCTCTTCGGATTCGGGGTTTCGCGATAGGTGAAGTAACGGTGTCAGTAGCGCTAGCGAGAACAGTTGGCACAGATTAGGCGGTAAACGGCGTGTCAGCGAAGGCTGGCGACTGTCGCAGAGTGCCGCGATGTCCCAGCTCGAGATGGTTGCGAACAGGTCTGCACGCTTCGCCAGTTCGTCTGGGGAAAAATAGCGGGGAGTCGGAGTGGTTTGGCGCGTCGCGACATTGATATCGGCGGTCCGATTTCGTCGAGCGCGGCCCGTCCGCCCTGGCAGGATTGGGGTTGGAATTTCACCCGTTCGATCGACATCGGACGGTCGCTGATCCGCCTGTGCTGCTTGCGTGGCCGAGAGCCCTACCCCCGCTACTCCTCTCCCCGCTGCCTCCCTTGTACTGCCTTCGTCCTCGATCCCCTCGTCTTCGCTTGGAGGGAGGGATTCTTCCCTATAAGATGGGTCCCTTAACTCATCATCCTCATTAGTTGCCTCCAGAGCCGTTAAAGCCAAACGCCCCGCCGCTTGATACCCGTTTTCCGGACCTCCGCCTGTCCCGCTCGTAACCCGCCTCCTGGCCCCGCTGCCTCCCCGCTCTCCAGATGGTGATTGCTGGTGCATCTGAGCCATCGCCAGTGCGCGCTGCCGCCTGGTCGGCTGTGGTCGCCCAGCCTCAGTCGGGGCCCGGAAAGGCGACCATGCCGACGGAGCCCCTGCCGGCTCCGACGCCCTCGACAATAGTCGCTGAAAAGACTCTTCCCCACGCACCCGCGGATCCCCTTGCCGTGTCGGGGGCTGGCTCGTCTGTTCCTGCGGCTGCTCCGTCCGCTCCGCCAGCTGCTCCTGTTCCCCTGGCCCTCTTTGTCGAGCCGTTGGTGCCTGCTCCTGCTGGGGGTGTTGCTGATCCCCCAGTTCTTGTCCCTGGCGCGCGCGTTGCACCGCCTGCTTCTGTCGCCGACGCGTCTGTACCGGCTTCTGTTTCGTCGCCGAAGGCGGCGTCCGCCACCACCGGCGGCCCGGCTCCGTCGGTTGCGCCCTCAGCGGCGGGGCAATCTGCGCCTGCTGTGGCGCCGATGGCCCCGGCAGGTCAGCCATCACGTCTCCCGTCGCCTGACCGCCGACCGTCTCGCCCTCATTCCCCCGCGCCCCACCAGGATCGCAAGTCGTCTCGTCGCCGTCGTGATTCTCCGCGGCGATACCAGCAGCAGCCTCACTGGCCTGCTCACCCCGGTGGTCAGGGGGACTAGAGGGGTCCCCGCGGGCGCAGTGGTGGTGGGGGGTACCGCCCGCCGGTGACGATGGCAGATCTTCAGCGGGAAGTGTCGAGGGCGGTACGTGAGGAGAGGGCGTCGCAGAGCCAGAGCAGTTCGATGCGCGCCTCGCCGGCCCTAGAGGCTCCACGCCAGCCTGTGCTCCCGTTGAGTCCACCGCCTGTCGCTGCACCCCCTCCTCAGGTTCACATCCCAACGGCTCCTGCTCCCGCTGTGTCGGCGCCCGCCCCTGGGGCGCGTCTTCGCTTGCCGCCGGTTCCGCCTGTTGCGGGGGTGGAATTTGTGGCCGTTGGTGGCGGCGCGTTTGCGGCGCAGCATTCGCATCTCGCTGATGAGGATCAGCCGCTCCTGTTCCTGGCGGAGGCGCTTCAGCCTCCACAGACTCGTGTTCCGGAGGCGACACTCGGCCAACTCCATCGCCTCGCTGAGAGTCTTCACGCGCTGCTGCTGATTCAGGTGGTTGCACATTCGTCTCTCCCCGTGATCCCTCCTGAGTCTTTCCGTGGCCGCCAGCGTGACACTTGCCTGGACGCGGCAGACCAGCTCGCGGTGCTCCTGGCGCCCGTGCTGGCTGCGCCCGCGGAGGGAGGCGCTGCTGCTGCGGGACAGCATGACGAGGCTGTCCGGGGCCTGAGGCGGCACTTGCGCGCTGGATCTGGAGCCGCGTGTCAGAATATTATGCTCTAGCCTGTAGTGGGGTGCTCTATAGTGAGTACAACCCTTCTAGGGTTTGCTATTTGTATCCTCATTCTTGCTAGTGCAACCCTCCTTCTTCTTTTTAAACTTTCACATGCTATCAGAGCAGGTCGATCCCCTTGGATCGATCCTGTGGGTGGGCTCACCACCTCGTTGCTTCCGCTGCAACTTCCACTACTACCTTCTGTGCCGCACGCCCCGTGGCGTGCGGCAGTTTTTCTTCCCGCCGTGCGCCCCGAGGCGCGCGGCGGTTTTCTGCCCGCCGTGCGCCCCGTGGCGCGCGGCGGTTCTCTGCCCGCTGTGCGCCCCGAGGCGCGCGGCGGGCTTCTACCCCGTCACTCGCCGCGTCGCCCTCGGGAGGCGCTGCGACGGGCGACGGGGACCCGCGCGTCGCCCCCCGTCGCCCGTCGTGGCCTGCGCGCGGCCCGTACAGCCGGCGCGCGGCCCGTACGGGCTGCGCCAGGCCTGCGCGCGGCCCGTACGGGCTGCGCCAGACCCGCGCGCGGCCCGTACGGGCTGCGCCAGGCCCGCGCGCGGCCCGTACGGGCTGCGCCAGGCCCGCGCGCGGCCCGTACGGGCTGCGCCAGGCCCGCGCGCGGCTCGGGCCGCCTGCGCGCGGTTCGGGAGGCTGTGCCAGGCCCGTGGGCGGCCCTTTCCTCGCTGCCCCTGCCCTCCCCGCTGTCCCCCTCACCTCATATTGCTTCTTGAACTTGTGCTCAGAATGTGTGGTGACATTGTGATCCACCCTGAGCTTGTACTGCTGTGCTTGCTCTGCTGATTACACCCCACTTTGGCTATGGGGGTGTGTCAGAATATTATGCTCTAGCCTGTAGTGGGGTGCTCTATAGCGAGTACAACCCTTCTAGGGTTTGCTATTTGTATCCTCATTCTTGCTAGTGCAACCCTCCTTCTTCTTTTTAAACTTTCACACCGCGGCGATCGGCGCAAGCACGCTTGTGGTCCGGGAGCTGTGGCGCTCCCTGACGGGCGTTCTTCATGCCCTTGGAGCGCACCGCATGTAGGCGCGGGCTCCGGTTGGCCCATGGTCGCTTCACTTGTCTAGGCTGACGTAGGGAATGCCATCGCTTGTATGCTGTTGCTTATAGTCATTCGTGTGCGTGTTCCCTTGCCATTCCCTCACGCGCGGCCGAAGGCCGCGCTGTCGAGCGTCGGCCGCCGAAGGCGGCCGGCGCGAGGGAAAAAATCTGAACCCACCGAACAATGAGGAGAAGAGGCCAAGAAGGCCTCTTAAGTAGCTCACAGAGGAGAGGGCAGAGGGCAAAGGGAGAGGGCAGAGGCTAGGTGTCTCTCTCTCTCTCGCTCTCTCGAACGAGCGAAAAAATCTGAACCCACCGAACAATGAGGAGAAGAGGCCAAGAAGGCCTCTTAAGTAGCTCACAGAGGAGAGGGCAGAGGGCAAAGGGAGAGGGCAGAGGCTAGGTGTCTCTCTCTCAAGCAGTCCTGTATTGATAATGGTCATAGGATACAAGCATGGCATGAGTAGTTTGGCATACATGCTGCCCTAGAAGCATAGGCAATCCTGGCATGCATTGTTTGTACTATTCCTACCTTCCTTGGTACATGGCTGCCTAGGCATGCAAGCACCTATCACTAGGCCCCCAAGAAGGCCTCTCTCTCTCTCTCTCTCTCTCTCTCTCTCTCTCTCTCTCTCTCTCTCTCTCTCTCTCTCTCTAATGGTCCTTGTATTGATATAGTCGACAAGTACAATCATGCAAGTCATAGAGTCGTAGGTAACACCCATGTAAGGCACAAGCACCACAAATCTACAACTCCACGAGGGGCTCAATGACTGCGAAGCAGTCCCCAAGGTGCAACTCGTCCCCAATCCCCCCCACAGGCGGGTTCTCTACTGCCGCAGCCTCTCCAAGCTTGAGCAGGAGGCCCACGGATTGGGCCCTCTGCAGGGCCACCGACCAGCGTTGCCTGAACTGGTGCAGGAACTTTGCAGCATAGAACGATTTGGAGTCGGCGTTGAAGTGGCGCCGAGCTGCAGTGTCCGCCAAGAGCTTCAGAAAGACTGGCACCTCCGCGCAGGGGCAGCCGTAGGTGTCTACCGCAAGTGGGAAAAACTTCACCGTCTCCGGCAGGGTGGCGTAATGCTGGATCTTCTTGTCCGCTTGCTCCCGCGCCGCCCAGCCCCTGCCTTTCTGCGCCTCTGGATCCCTAGTGCTAATAGGGTCGGTAATGGTGACGTCGCATACGTAGACGGCCCCACTGCTTCTGTCCGTCATTGTAAAATCAGCCGTCTGTTCCTCAATGGGGCAGTGCGCCGATGACTCGCCATGGACAATGAACCCCGCGTCTTGGGCCATGCTAATGCAGGCATCGCGCAGCTCGTTATGGGTGTTGATGCGATGCTTGCCCGTGCCGCAGCGGAGTAGGTGGTTAGGGAGGCGGGGGTCCGTGATGGCGATGTGGTCAGCGCAGTCACACTTCTTCGGTGTGGAGAAGGGGAGGGCCAGCCGGAAACGCACGGCATTAGAGAAGTGAGTGGGCCCTATCCTCCTGTTGGCCGCAATGGGGATAGCGGTCAGCCAATCCCCGGTCCCGTAACCGGTCAGTGAGTACATGCGCTGTGTGTGTCCGCACAGGGGGTTCAGCGCCATCCGTCGTGTCTCCTTGACCTGTGCGGCATATCTGCTCCCATGTACCCTTAGTGCCAATGCGTGTTGGAGCCTGATGTCTGATCGCTGCAGCCGCTCTTTCTCCAGGATCTCCCGTGCGTCTTCAGGTAAAGCCGCTTTGCACTCCGATAGCCATGCGTGGAGAGGCGTGGTGACGTCTGCCGGCAGCAGCAGGTGGTCCCGAGCCTGCGTCAACGCGCCATCAGGGGCGCCGTCTAGCGATGCCAGGAAAAGCGCGGCCTGTGTGAAGCTCGCTGCGTACCCGTATACTCCCTCGGTTAGGGGGTTGGTAATGCCTATTCCTCCCAAGGACGGCGGCAGTGAGGCCTGCGCCCAGACACGTGCTTGTTCAATGCGGCAGGTGGGGACGCGGATGCCGCATGCTATGAGTAGCGCTGCAAGCAGATCAGTGCCCCACTGACTCCAGGTGACGAGAGGCAGAAGGCGAAGAGGTGTCGTTCTGGTGAGGTATGCCACCCGCCTCGAGATACAGCGGGTGAGCAATAACGATGCTACCTGGGGGTTGGCTTTCTCAAGGAGTGGCAAGGGTTTTGCCATTTCCCGTAGCTGACCCGACAGGAACTGTGACGCCCCGCTGTCAGGGCCCACGAAGCTTCCCAGGAAGCGCACGCCGTCGTGGAAAAATGGGACTCCCTGCGGTAGCTGATCCTTCACTGCTTCTTCCCTGCTCCAGGCTGCGCATTTCTGCGCGTTGTGTCTTAGCCCCAGGTGCGCCAATCTCTCGGTGAAGTGATTGAATGCGGCTACAGTGTCCGCCGCCTTCCCCAGGAATGTGACATCGTCGGCGTAAGCCAGACAAAGCACATGGGGATATGCCTCAGCAGTGTCGCGTAGTGCTGGGTGTATTCCCGCCGCAAACAGTAAAGGGCCAAGTGGGTCCCCTTGACGCACGCCCCGTTCGCTGGTCAGCGGGTCACATTCGAAATTTGCGTCGAGGTGCAACTTGGACGGGTTACCATAGGTCAGTTTCACCAGCGGCACTAGTGGCGATAGCCCGGGTTCTTGTAACGCCGTCGCGATAGCTTGTCGGGATATGCTGTTGAATGCATTCGAGATGTCGGTCTGCAGCACCAGGCTGTTGGGTAGCTTGTCCAGGTACGCACGCGCCACGTGGATAACTGCCTCGGCTCCTCCTGGCACAGCCACTCCATACTGTAGGGGCAGAAAATAGTCACGTGCAGCATCGCCCGTGGCTGCGAGGGCTGCCTTGGCTGCCAGCCGAGTGATGCACTCGCCAATCGCGATTGGTCGAGGCCCCCCACCTGGTTTGGCCAGTGCTATAAGTCGCGAGGCTATCAGTAGGTCCGCCACCGGTGCTGGTAGGTTGCCCCCCAAAATGGTGTTTTTCAGTGCGTGCAGATGGGTGCTGACTCGCCCGTTCGTGATTGCCGCGTCGCGCATGTGTTCGAAAGTCGTTCCCGAAGGTCCGGCACCGACCCCGTTCTCGCACCTCCCCAGCAGTTTGGCGAAGTCAGCGTGGGTGATGGATAAATTTGACTCGGGCGTGGGTGGCCACGTCGTTTGTCCTGGTTCGGCTGGCGGATGTTTCAGTCGGAGCTCCTCCAGAATTTCTGGTGTTGGTTTGCAGACTGGCGTTGACTCCAACGCCAACACGGCTCGGCGCAGGCTACCACGTTTCGCCAGGCCCTCGGCTCGGCTGATGACCCCGGTAGCATCGGGCTGATGACGTGGTGGCGCGGGTGAGTTGACCGCTTCAATCGCGTCCTTGTACAGTTGGTCCCACTCGCCTCGCTGGAAGGCTCGGAGCTGGGCCTTGATCTGGGGCCAGTTCGGTTTCCGTGGCGAGTTTTGGCGAAGCGTCAGGCGTGGCAGAAAGAGGAGAAGGCGCCAACCTGCCTCTGATTCCGGGTTTCGTGACAGGTGGAGTAACGGGGTCAGTAGCGTCAGCGAAAACAACTGGCACAGGTTTGGCGGTAACCACCGTGCCAGAGATGGCTGCCGACTGTCGCAGAGGGCAGGGATATCCCAGTTCGCGATGTCTGCGAACCAGTCTTCCCGCATCGCCAGCTCCTCTGGCGTGAAATAGCGAGGGTGATTGGGATTATCTCGCACCGCCGCCGTGTCTGTCGCGGCCCGATGTCGCCCGGTGCGGCCCGTCCTCGCTTGTGATGGTGTGGTGAGAATTTCGCCCGTACGATCGGCATCGGACGGTCCACCAGCGGTGTCCCTTTGCTCGCCAAGGGACTGCCTTGCTCTTGCTCCCGTCCTCCTCCCGTTCTCCCTTACTCCTTCCTCTCCCTCCGTCTCTTCATCTTCGCTCGAGGGCATGGGCTCCTCCCTATAAGAGGGGTCCGTTCCCTCTTC